CGATTCCTGGTCGGGGCACATGCCCAGGTTGCGGGCTTGACCAATGACTCTCTCATCATTGATGTTTCTCTCTCTCTCTTTCCCTCTCTCTGAAATTAATGAAGATATATTAAAAATGTACTTTATTGTTTCATATCTTATATTTAGGTCTTTGATTCATTTTGAATTAATTTTTATACGTGGGGGCGAGCTGTAATCTAGTTTCATTCTTTTGCATGTGGCTTTTCAGTTTTCCCAGCACCATTTATTGAAGAGACTTTCTTTTTTCCATGTGTGTTTCTGGCTCCTTTGCTGAAAATGATCTACCCATATACATATGGTTTTATTTCTGGGCTGTCAATTCTGTTCCATTTCTGCCAGTACCATGCTGTTTTGATTATCGTAGCTCTGAGAATTTGAAGTCAGTTAGTGTGATATGTCCAGCTTCGTTCTTTTTTCTGAAGATTGCTTTGGCTATTTGGGATCTTTTGTGGTTCCATACAAATCCGATGAGTTTTTGTTCTATTTCTTTAAAAAATGACACTGGGATTTGGATGGGGATTGCATTGAATCTGTATATTGCTTTGGGTAATACAGCCATTTTAACTGTTGATTCTTCAGCCCATGAACATGGAATATTTTTCCATTTCCCTGTGTCTTTTTCGGTCTCTTTTAATAATGCTTCGTAGTTTTCAGTATATAAGTCTTTCATATCTTTTGTTAAGTTTATTCCGAGGTATTTTATCCTTTTGGTTGCAACTGCAAAAGCAATTGTTATTTGTTTGTTTTTTCTGAAGTTTCATTGTTAATATATAGGAAAGCAGTGTGTTTTTGTACATTGATTTTGTATCCTGCAACTTTTCTGTATCTGTTTATTGTTTCTAATAGTTTTTAGTGGAGTCTTTAGGGTTTTCTGTGTATAGAATCATGTCATCTGCAAATAGTGACACACTTCTTTCCTTCCCAATTTGGATCCCTTTTATTTTGTTCTCTTGCCTGATTGCTCTGGCTAGGACTTCGAGAACTATGTTGAATAAGAGTGGTGAGAGTGGGCATTCTTGTCTTGTTCCTGATCTTAGAGGAAAAGCTTTCAGTTTTTCACCATTGAGTATGATATTGGCTGTGGGTTTGTCATATATGGCCTTTATTATGTTAAGATACTTTCCTTCTATACCTATTTTATTGAGTGTTTTAATCATAAATGGATATTGTATCTTATCAAATGCTTTTTCTGCGTCTACTGAAATGATCATATGATTTTTATCCTTTCTTCTTGTTAATGTGGTGTATTACATTGATCGATTTGTGTATGTTGAACCATCCTTGTGCCCCTGTAATGAACCCCACTTGATCATAATCTATTTTTTTAATATATTGTATTCGACTTGCTAGTATTTTGTTTAGGATTTTTACATCTGTATTCATCAGAGATATTGGTCTGTAGTTTTCTTTTTTGTGTTATCCTTGTCTGGTTTTTATATCAGGGTTATATTGGCCTCATCAAATGTATTAGGAAGTGCCCTAGACAGTTTGGCTCAGTGATTAGAGCGTCGGCCCTCAGACTGAAGGGTCATGGGTTCAGTTCCAACCAAGGGCATGTACCTGGGTTGCAGGCTCGATCCCCGGCCCTGGTTGGGGCACATGCGCAAGTCAACCAGTTGATGATGTGTGTCTCTATCACATCCATGTCTTTCTCTCTCCCACTCTCTCTGCAAAGCAATGGAAAGAGATTCTCGGGTGAGGATTAAAAAAAAGTGTTAGAGGTGTTGCCTCTTCAGTTTTTTGAAAGTTTGAGAAGGGTAGGTTTCAAATCTTCTTCGAATGTTTGGTAGAATTTACTGGTGAAGCTATCTAGCTGGTCATGGACTTTTATTTTGGGGGTGGTTTTTGATGGTTGTTTCGACTTCCTCACTGCTGATCGGTCTATTTAGATTTTCCAGTTCTTCCTCATTCAGTCTAGGAAGGTTGTATATTTCTAGGAACTTACCCATTTCTTCTAGTTAATGATTTTGGTGGCATATAGTCTTTCACAGTATTCTAGTATGATCCTTTGTATATCTGTGATGTCTGGTAACTTCTCTTTCATTTCCGATTTTTGTTTAGATAAGTCTTTTCTCTTTTTTCCTTAGTGAGTCTAGCCAGGGGGTTTGTCAATTTTATTGAATTTTTCAAACAACCAGCTCTTTGTTGTATTAATTTTTACACTTGTTCTTTTTAATTGAAATAAAAAGAATAACATTTATTGAGCATTGTGTTAGTTATTACTCTGAGAACTTTCCACTTATGAACTCATTTCATCTTCATATTAAATATATGAAGTAGCTGTGTTATTATCTCTATTTTGAGAAGTGATAAAACTGAAGCACACAGAGAGTCTAAATAACCCAAGGACTTACTGCTCGTAAGAAGCAGACCCAGGATTTAGAATACAGGCAGTCTAGCTCTTGAGTCCATGTTCTTAACCACTGCACTCTACTGGGTATACTATATGTGATAGAATTGAAGAGCATATTCTGAAGAAATTCAGGGGATGACTTAGGAGCCCTCTTCGAATATAAAATTAAGAAGCAATAAATAAAAGAAGGAAAGGAAGAAGGACTTTGAGTGTCTTCAGATAGATTTGTCTTAAGCTTATTTAAAAAAATAGTATTAATGAATAATAAATGCATAGTATGAGGAAATTTGTGCTAATTGTCCATTTACTATAGTAAATGTCATAAAACTTTACTAGGCAGCTAGCTATTATTGATTCAGATTTTTACATTTCTTTCCTGGTTTTTCCTGTTTCTTAGGATTTTCCCCCCTGGCATTATACAGCAGTAAATTATACCTTTTGTCTCTTGTTTTATGGATTAGGAGTTAAATAAAAGGCAGACCCAAAAGGACTTAGAGCATGCCATGTTACTGCGACAGCACGAGTCCATGCAAGAACTGGAGTTCCGCCACCTCAACACAATTCAGAAAATGCGCTGTGAGTTGATCAGGTTGCAGCATCAAACCGAGCTCACTAACCAGCTGGAATACAATAAACGAAGAGAACGAGAACTAAGACGAAAGCATGTCATGGAGGTGCGGCAGCAGCCCAAGAGCCTGAAGGTACCTGTACCCTAAGCTGCTTGACAGGGCAAAGAGAAAAAAGACATTTAAACAGTGAAGGTCTAAGACAGATGTCTGTCATAAAGAAATTGAATGAGCTTTTTTCTTTGCATTTTAAGCATGTTTGGTTAATTTAATGTGGAGTATCTGTAGCTATACACTTTTGCTTATGTATTTCCCACCAAGTTCCAAAAAGTAGCCAAAACTTTTAACTGTGGGAAGTGCCATCAATAAGAATCAAAAGTCTTATTTTAAATGTACCCAGATGTTCAATGCTGATATTACATGTCAACATGCTAACCTGTTGGCGTTTCTTTGTTCTAAGTAATAGTTTTGTAATCTTATTTGCTCTAAATGTGATTTGTATCCAAAAAAGTTCCAAATCATTACAGAAGCCAGTGAATGAAAATGCCTTTTTAACTCCTCTTCCTTCTTGTCTATGCTCATCTGAAGAGGAATAGTGGAATCATAACAGAACTTTAATTTTTGTATTTGCTTTGAATAGAGGAATTCATTTGCATGGTATGAAATTTGAAAGTATACTATAAAGTTAAAGGTTTCCCTTTCTCCCCTTTGTCCCTCTAGCCACCTGTTCCAGCCCCCTTCACCAAAGTGAACCAGAGTTAACAATTCCAAGAAATTTTCAAGTTTTATAACTTGTAATAAATATTTGAAGGACTTTAGTCACATGAATCTTAATAAACTAAAACCACACACTATAGAGGCTATCATCTATATTAGTACCTCAAATAATCTGTACATGTCTGCACACTTTAAACTTTTATTTACATCCAATAAGGCCCACAGTATTTTCTTTTTAAACCTTTTCCTCTTTTTAAAACTATTTGACAATTAAACTGTAAAACTGTTCTTGGTCTTAACTGAATAACTGTCCTGGAGTAAAGTGAAATTCATTCACAGAGGTAATCTTTTAAAATCTTGAAGATACACCACACCCAGTGGTATCCCCAATTCCCACCCATTTCCTTTCAAACAAGCTGTATTGAACAAAATATAGAATCAAAGCTGTTGTACCCTTTTCTGTGAACCTGAGTAACATTTCATTTTGCTGTGTCCTCAGAACAGTTAATTAACATCATCTACAGTGTAGCTTATGTTGACTGTCCACATAACCTTCTTTAGTTGTTGCTTAGAAAAATTGGAATTCATAATGATTTTTCAGATTTATTTTGTCTTTTTAGTGGAGAGAGATATACTCTTTTGCAGCAGAATAGATAATTTCCCTCAAAAGATTTTTAAAACAGAATGTCTGTGAAATTAATTATGGTTTTAAAGTCAGCAGCACCCAGAAGTAAACCAGACTGAAAGCTTATTAGTTTAATAGTCATATCATAAATCTGATATGACTGCATTTCTCTAGGATAGTTGTTCGATGTTTAACAACCCTTCCTGTTTCCTGTTGTTGGATCCTTTTCAGTTTGAAAGCTTGTAAACAGTAGTCTGATTTTCACAGATATTATACAGAAAGTGAGGAGAAAAATAATGTTTTACAGTCACCGTCATACTTTGAATAGAATGCCTCCTGATGACAAATGAGCTCCAAAAGTCCCATAAAGGAAATTGTTCTGTTACTTTAGTAGGGAAGGAAATCACTGTTTTCCTCTTAGTTGTGTATTTCTATCTACTTACTCAAAACAGACTAGATTTTAACACCAAGTTATTTCATTTTTATTTACCTAAGTATTTAGTTGCCTTTCCAACTTTCGCAAGACCTTAAAGAGGGCTAGGGGAACTTCAGTTTGAGCCCTTATGTGAGTTTACTAGGAGTTGTGGGGGTTGGCGTACCATTTCTATGGAATGGGTTGGGTAAACACCTACTCTGCTGTTTCTTCACCAAATGGTGCTCTGTAGTGTTAAGTGAGTAGAAACTATTGTAACCTATGTTCATCTTGCTTTCACTGAGTCAAACATTGAGGGATATAATTTATTCTTGGTATAAGTATCACTCTTCTTGTAAAAAAATATTCTTTGAGATGTATGTTAGCTGAACCTATTATAATTATTTCACAATATATATAAATCAAACCATCATGCGCTATACCTTAAAATTATACAGTGATGTATGTCAGTTATTTCTCGATAAAACTGGAAGAAATCAATAAGTGGAGAAAAAATTTTTTTAATTTCCTTTTCAAGTTTTTTTCCTCATTAGGCTAAAGATATACAGTTTTCTTGGCACAATATTTTAAAAATAAAAACTTAAAACAATAGAGGCTGTTACACAGAGGCAGAAGAGCATGTCTAAATTTCATTGTTCCACTCCTAGATAAATTGGAAGAATTTTTTTAAACCAAGGACAGTATTTAAAAGCAGTGTTATTAAGCATAGCTAAACCAAGAGTTTCTCTTTCTAGCTAGACATTTCTTGACTCTTCACAGAATAAAGCTATATGACTATGATCTAGTGCTTCAGTTGGTATAAAATATGGAGAGGTTATATTTGAAGTTGTAGTATGGAGTGGGAGGGGCAAAAACTACTTCCTTGACCCAAGTGTATTACTTTGGTCATATATGCATTTTTTATACACTGTATCAACCAATTAATATCTGACAGTATTTATATTAAGGTAAAATAATTTCAACAGTAGATTCGGCCTTATTGTAGTAAATGAATATATTTTCACTTGTAGGTTTGATCAATATACCTTACAGAAATATATTTTATCTTATTAAATTTTGTTAAAACCTGAGTTCATAGAATACCTAACCTGTGATTAACCAAAAACCAAAGCCAAAACTCTTACATCTCTGAACTCAAATTATTTTATCACAGAAATGTTTATGTAATTCATGTTTATCATCACCCTAAGAAGGGTTGTCTCCTCCCTTGCCCCATAACTTTTGTTTGACCTTTGAAAGATTAGTTAACTCATCCGAATTTCAAGGTTTTGCTTGTGGTGTGTTAAAGAGTAAACTGTTACTAAGTGCGTTTCTACCTAGTTTGTTCCCTGAAGGAAAAGACCAATTGTAATAACAATACTAGTTACTAATACCCTTTTTTTATGGGTTCTGTCACAGACTATGTAGTTGGAGTTGAGATTGTCATTAAAAGAAATTGGTGCAAAGTGTCTCAGATAAGGAACAGAGTAAATATGTTTATTTTCTATCCGAGAGATCTGATAAAATATTGTCGGTGCTTTTATATCTACTACACTTACTGCTTGAGAAGAAATTTAATTTTCTGTCATCAATATACGCAGTAATCAAAACTAATTTTAATATTTACTCAAGTAGCTAAACTTACTAGCAAAGTAATGAGTATTACTCAAAGTCCTGTGATAAATGAGGTTGTTGGTATTCTAATGATTTAAGTTAGAGTATTTGTTATTAAAATATATAGAATTCAGTGATTTGACCCAGTAGCCAAGTACAAAAATACCTACAACCTTATGATCTCATCTTTTTGTTTTTCTTCTCCCTTTCTCCTAGTAGCCTTTGTTTTCATGTAAGCATAAGGTATGCCAAATGCCATATGTTAAAAATTATATACATCTTTTTTTTTCTTCCCAGTCTAAAGAACTCCAAATAAAAAAGCAATTTCAGGACACCTGCAAAATCCAAACCAGACAGTACAAAGCATTAAGAAATCACCTACTGGAGACTACACCAAAGAGTGAGCACAAAGCTGTTCTGAAACGGCTCAAGGAAGAACAGACCCGGAAGTTGGCCATCTTGGCTGAGCAATATGACCACAGCATTAATGAAATGCTGTCCACACAAGCCGTGAGTTTGTTTTATTTGGGCGAAACAATTTAGTGCCCCTATCCTTCTACCACCTGATTAAAATCCCAGCAATTAAAATACTAGTTGGAAGTCATTGCTCTCCTGCAGCTTGGAAAATAGTGGTGGGTGGTCCATATTCTTCCAGCTCTCAGCATTGCTTGGAAGCTGGCGTGACGTATATAGAACTCTCATTGGTCCATTTAGACACAAAGTTCTAAACAGGCTCTTTGCCGGTACTGCTCAGGTCTTTAGTACATATTCCAAAAGCTTATCAAGATTAGATAAGCAGCACCCTGGCTGGTCTGGCTTAGTTGGTTGGAGCGGCTTCCTGTACACCAAAAGGTGGCGGGTTCAATTTCTGGTCATGGCACATGTAGAAGGCAACAATCCATGTTTCTCTCTCACATTGATGTTTCTTTCTCTTTCTCTCTCTTCCTCTCTCTAAAAAAATCAGTAAAATTTAAAAAATTAGCCCTAGCTGGTTTGGCTCAGTGGTTAGAGCGTCAGCCCGCCAACTGAAGAGTCCTGGGTTCGATTCCGGCCACAGACATTTACCTGGGTTGTAGGCTTGATACCTGGCCTGGTCGGGATATGTGTGGGAGGCAACCAATCGATGTGTCTCTCTCACATCGCTGTTTCTCCCCTCCCCCCCCTTGCACTTCCTCTGAAAAGCAAAGGAAAATTTCCTCAAGTGAGGATTAAAAAAATTTTTTTCTTTTTAATTAAAAAACTCAAAAAGATTAGAGCAGCAGATTGGTTAAGCAGTGGGCAAAAAGTAGTACTATATTGGAAATCCAAATGGTCACATTGGAGAACTAATATAAAATATTGTCTATAATTTTTGTAAACTTTTCTTAAAGGGCCAGATAGTAGATATTTTAAGCTCTGTGGGCCAGGAAGCAAAATTGAGGATATTTACAAACTTTTCTTAAAGGCCAGATAGTAGATACTTTAGGCTCTGTGGGCCAGGAGGCAAAGTTGAGGATATTACATGGGTACTTATATAGCCATTTAAAATGTAACCATTTCAAAATATAAAGACCATTCTTAACTAGTGGGCTATTTAAACACACACAATTTGGCCCATAGGCTATAGTTGGCTGGTCCCTATTCTGTAGTTATTTCCATTTGAGGAAGAGATTCAGAGTCTTATAATACCTAATCAGAGTCTAGATTTTTCTTAAGAAAAATACGGTTATTAGGCATCTGCCAAATAGCTTATGATAGCTTCATAAGCCTTAATTGGTTACTGTGCCTTTCTTTCTCAGAGATCTTTACTCTAAGGTAGAAGAGAAACCAATTATGTATCCTACAAAGGAGTAGTCTGTCTTACCTGATACTCCTTCTTTCCCTAGGTCATGGATAGCTCGCAATAGGATGTATCTGTTTTCTTTCTCTTTCAGCTGCGTTTGGATGAAGCACAGGAAGCAGAGTGCCAGGTTTTGAAGATGCAGCTGCAGCAGGAACTGGAGCTGTTGAATGCATATCAGAGCAAAATCAAGATGCAAGCTGAGGCACAACATGATCGAGAGCTTCGGGAGCTTGAACAGAGGGTCTCCCTCCGCAGGGCACTCTTAGAACAAAAGGTATAAGTAGTAGAAGGGAGGTAATTGTGCTAGTATTTGCTTTCTTCAAAAGCATTTTATAAGTATATTTTCATATTGACAGGGGTGGCATTAGACTATTTTCACAGTACCATATTTCCTTAATTCTAGTTTTGGTAGTGTTTTCCTTTTCTTTAAAATTATTGATTCAATAATGAACCATATTATTATTATTTTTTATTGGAGAGAGAGAGGGAGAGAGAGATAGAAACATCCATGAGAGAGAAACATAGATCGGCCACCCCCAGCACGCCCCCTACTGGGGATTGAGCTCGCAACCCAGGCATGTGCCCTGATCGGGAATCGAACCAGCGACCTCTTGGTTCATGGGACGATACTCAGTCCACTGAGTCACACTGGTCGGGCTTAATAATGAACCCTATAATTAATGAGTTCTAAACACCAGGAGACTATAATTAAGTAGCAATTGCTAGAAAAAGGATATGGGTTATGTGAAGATGGTTGAATTTTGAGAGAGTAACTCTGGCTCCATGTTCCTCACTTCTGTTATGTACCTAGCTCTACCTAAGGAGATTGGAGAAAACTTGGATAGTGAAGAAAAAGAACTTTAGCAATTGCTTGGGAGAGGCAGGGACAAAGGATCAGGAATATATACTTTACTCATACATCCTGAGCCTGGAACTATACAGGTTGGTGGAAGGTTACTAGAGGACAGAAAGTAAAACCAGTTCAACACAGGTGAAAAGTCAGGCTGAAAATGTTACTTCTAGATGTACCTTTATTTATTTATTTTATTTATTCTTTGTCGGATATTCAGATATGTTAGAGAATAGAACTAGAATCACAGCTTAAGGAGTGTAAACTGTGTGTGTGTGTGTGTGTGTGTGTGTGTGTGGGTGTGTGTGTGTGTGTGTGTGTTTTGGGGAAAGGGTGATGGGCAAGGAAAGGTATTTGTTGTGAGAAGTGGTAGAATATCAGTTGTATCTATGTTCCAGAGTTCCTGAGCCCATAAGTTCCCAATAGCTGATACAGTGTTAGGTCCATTAAATTAATACTTGCCTCGCGCCAGCCAGTGTGGCTCAGCGGTTGAGCATCAACCTATGGTCCAGGAGATTGCAGTTTGATTCCCGATCAGGGCACATGCCTGGGTTACAGGCTTGATCCCCAGTAGGGGGCATGCTGGAGGCAGCCAATCAATGACTCTCATCATTGATGTTTCTATCTCTCCCCTCCCTTCGTCTCTGAAATCAATAAAGAGATATTAAAAAAATAATAATAAATTAATACTTGCCTAATGGTCTTGCCTATTGCCTATTAAAAGTTGTCATCATTTCTGGACCATTGGCTCATAGATTTTTCTCTGTTTCCTGCAGTTCTTGTGATAAAAATAGAATGCCTTAAAAAACCCACCTAAATAAGATGTTACTATGTCTCTGGCAGAACTGTCTTTATTACTGGCTTCTTGAGAGGTACTTGCCTCTAAAAACTATCTCAGTTATGTTTCTCATTCAAGATGGAAAGATATAAATTTTGAGAAAAATCTAATTTGTTTCATGTACAGATTTCATAAATGTAATTCCAACTTTCATATTTAAAATTAAAAGTTCTGTCTCATATGCTTCAAAATCATCACTAAAAGGAAAATTCCTTATAGTATTTCGGGAATAGTGTTGTGAGAAATATTGGCACTATTAAAGTATATTTGTATTTTTAGCTCCACCTAGTGGTTCAGAGTTAAACAGTGCTAATTAATCATTTCAATATATGAACCAAAGGCTGTGTGTTCTTCAAAGCTTAGTAAGATGTGAGTATAAAACTGATACCCATTGGTGAAGATGATGTGGAATTCTCATGCATTGTTAATGCATTTTGGAAAATAATTTGGAAGTATATATTGGGCTTTGGAAATGTTAAGACTTTGAGAATTCCAAGGAAAATCAATCTAAAATACAGGGGGAAAGTATGCATAAATATGGTGATTATAATGCATATTTCATAATGGCTTAAAATACCTAACCATGTAAAATAGAGATATCAGGAGCATTTGAGATCTTGCTTCCCAGCATATGGTGTAAGTTTTGGCTTAAATGAACTCTCAATAAATAAATAAATAATAACTTTGAGATATAAATAAGTAATTATGGTCAATCTACTTATTAAAATCTTACTCATTCTTTTAATTGATGGCTACAAAGACAGCATTAATATGAATGTGTTGAAAATGATAACACATTTTGATCTATTGAATAAAATAAAGACAAATAACACTTAAAGTGAATTGAAGTAATGCTAGTAGTGACTATATTAATATGGTAGATTGGTTTGTTTTTCTATTTTATTATTTTTTATGTGGTTAATATTACTTTAATAATGGAAAATGCAAAAGATTAGTATTAAAAATAATAAAAGAACAATAGGATGATAAATCTATAATGCTTTGAGTTGCTACTTGATTTTTAGAGTTGATGTTTACATTTCAAGTGGAATGCATGGCTATGAAGCACTTTGAGGTCAGTTGGGAACTACTAAAGCCAACCTAGGTATGTGCCCTGACTGGGAATTGAACCCAGAACCTTTTGGTTCAAGGGGATGACACTCCTACCAACTGAGCCACCCGGCCAGGGCCCATGTAAATTTTATACATAACATAAAAGGGGGCAGTATTTCCAAAGTATAAATTGACATTTTTTGTTATATCATTTCATTTAATTTTGTCTCTATTTCATTTAGTATCAGCAACTGGTTGGTAGTTTTAAAGTAAGAATTGACCACTGGGACATGTTACAGGACCTTTCTTCGTGGAACTGAAAATATTCACACAAAAAATATCACATTTAGTTTCAAAAAGATAGGTTGGGAGAACCTCTCAAAAGTTTTAATTACAGCCTTGCCGGCGTGACTCAGTGGTTGAACATCGACCTGTGATCCAGGAGATCACCACTCGATTCCTGGTCAGGGCACATGTTGTGGTCTTGGTCCTCAGTAGGGGATGTATAGGAGGCAGCCAATCAATGACTCTCTCATCATTGATGTTTCTCTCTCTCTCTCTTTCTCCCTTCCTCTCTCTGAAATCAATAAAGATATATTAAAAAAATAAAAAGTTTTAATTACTGTAATTCATCTACTCAGTGAAACCACCTTTCTAATTTGTAATAATTATAACATTATAAAAGAAATGGGGATTAATGTAAACTATCACAAACCTTAGTTTTTATTTTTAATTGAAAACTGTTCTGAGTTTCTTAAAATGACAAAACTAATAAGTAAACATAGTTGAAACAGTGCTTACTGGATAAAAGGTTGATAATCATTAAAATGTGCTTATATTTTTATCATGAATTTTCTTCAAATAATATGCAAGGCATTAATATCAGTTTACATAGATGCTCAGGACATTCTCATTATTTATTAGATCCCTCAAGTTAAAATAAATACTTTTAGTGAATGAATTTTTTAAAGTTTTACATATAAACTATTTAAAAGACAAAAATTGAAGTTCTTTGAATCCTTAGAGATCTGTAAATCTAATTCTATATGAATTGGGTATTTTATATGTAGATACTAAAAGAGTGGGAAAATTATTTTACAAAACACAAATCATTTTTTTAAATGTGGTAAATATAGAGAAACATAAATAGAAATTAAAATGTCGAATTCTACCACTCAGAAATAACTGCAGTTAATGATTTGATTTGATATCTTTTCCTCAGAAGAAGCCTTCATGTCTAATCTAAGTTCTTCAACCTTCATATGAAATGCCCTCTCTAAACCTTTGTAACACTTTAGTTCTTAGAACTTTGAATAATTTTCAAACCTTTATTTCATTTATTTAGTCCATTCTGGCCTAATTGTAATTTCCCAAACTCTTACTTTATCATCTTTTCATGCTTTTATCTGTTCCCTCTGATGAAAATATATTTCCCTCCCCTTGTCTTCCTGGTAAACTTGTACTCTCTCTTCAGAATCCAGTCTCGACCACCTCCTCTGAGATTTCTTTGCCTTATTCTCCATTCCCTGTAGAGTGAATCACTCCATCTCTTTGTATTTCTGCTATACCTTATAAATCTTTTATTATGTTTTATAACATTCTATTGCAATTTTTTATTTGCATGTGTTTCCCATGCCACTAAACTGTTGTGTGTTTTTTTACGGGCACAAATATATGTTTACATAAAAACTAAACATTTGTCAAGCTAGATTTCTGTAGAGAGCAATACCTATTGGCATAAGTTCTCAAATATCTTGAAACCTGATTATTTAATGCTCCTTTATAAATTCTCTTTATTTTTTTATCATGGAAATTTTCAAACATACACAAAAGTAGAAAGAATTAGTACAATGAAATCTCCAAGTACTCATCACCCATCTTTAGCAGTTATCAATGCTAATGTTTTCTTACCTATTCCCCTGTTCCACACACACAACTTTTTGGGGGGTTGGGGGGGTACAGCAGGAGTTAAAGTGTAGTGTCTGGAGTATTTAAAAGCAAATCCCAACATGGCATTATTTCACTCCTAAATGTAGGTAAGGACTTTTTAACCATAATTCCATCATGATAGCTAACAAAATTATAAATGTTTAATATTATCTAATATTCAGTCCATGTCTAAATTTCCCCTTTTATCTCAAAAATATATTTTTTAAGTTGGTACATTTGGATTGGGACCCAAAGAAGGTCCAGATATTGCCTTTAATGAATTGTCTTTTAAGTCTTTGAGTCTATAACAGACCCCACTCCACCCCCTTTTTTAAATTGGATTATATCATTTGCTGTACGGGAATTCTCATGTTCTGGATTTGGCTGATTGCATCCTCATGCTGTCATTTAATATATTCCTCTCTACTTTATATCTCTTGTAAACTGGTAATGAGATTTAGAGGCACGATTATATTTAGATTCAATATTTTCCTTTTAAAATTTTTGCAAGGAATTTTTATAAGGGTTACCATGTGTTTTGCATCATATCAAGAAATATAATGTCTAGTTGTCCCACTTTTAAGTGATATTATATTGATCATGGGTTCAGGTATTATCTGATTATTCATTAAAAGGTTCTCCAACTTTTTCATTGTCCATTAACTTTATTATTATTTTTTTACATTTAAAAAAATTATATACAATCAACTATATTTCTTTGTAATACCTCCCAGTTTTCTGAACTGATTATGATGACAACGCAACCACTAATTTCTAAGTACATAGTGTCTTCTAACTTTTTAATGAAAACTTTATAATTTTGTTTGCTTTTCACTTTGGTCCATTTGGAACATGGTATACAATGGGGTTCCACTTTTATTTCTTTCCAGATGGCTGGTCAATTGTGCCTGTGTTGTTTGTTTAAAAATCCATCTTTTCACCATTGAATTAATTACTGTTTTGTCCTGCATGAAAAACCTACAAACTGAGATCTGCATTCTGTTTCTATTTCACTAATTTTCTATTCCTATACCAATACCATATTTATCTTATTAAATGACATATGGTATGTCTTTTAAGACTGGTTTTCCCTCACCCATGTTTTCTTTCAACTTATTACCTAATGAATTTAGTAGCCATTGATGATCATTTCCTTGATTTATTATTTTAATAGAGGTTATTACCTTTGCTTTTAAGAACTTGATTCTGCACGTTTTAGAAATATAAATTATGTATGATTCCTAGAGTACATCTCTTTGATTTTTAAATGTACATCCATAAAATAACCAGAGTGAATTTCTTTATGTTTCACTTCAAAGCTGAGTAATTATTGCTTCCTTAGTTTTTTAGATTTTTTAAAAGTAAATCAACTTTCTTTTTGCTTCCTTCCTCCAACCCCCAACAGATTGAAGAAGAGATGTTGGCTTTGCAGAATGAACGCACAGAACGAATACGAAGCCTGCTGGAGCGTCAAGCCAGAGAAATTGAAGCTTTTGACTCTGAAAGTATGAGACTAGGTTTTAGTAACATGGTCCTTTCTAATCTCTCCCCTGAGGCATTCAGCCACAGCTACCCAGGAGCTTCTGGTTGGTCTCACAACCCTACTGGGGGTCCAGGACCTCACTGGGGTCATCCCATGGGTGGCCCACCACAAGCTTGGGGCCATCCGATGCAAGGTGGACCCCAGCCATGGGGTCACCCCTCAGGGCCAATACAAGGGGTACCCCGAGGTAGTAGTATGGGAGTCCGCAATAGCCCTCAGGCTCTGAGGCGGACAGCTTCTGGGGGACGGACGGAGCAGGGCATGAGCAGAAGCACGAGTGTCACTTCACAAATATCCAATGGGTCACACATGTCTTATACATAATTTAATAATTGAAAGTGGCAATTCCGCTGGAGCTTCCTGCCAAAAGAAACTGCCTACAGACGTCGTCACAGCAGCCTCCTCACTTGGGTACTACAGTGTGGAAGCTGAATGCGTATGGTATATTTTATTCATTTTTGTAAAGCATTCTGTTTCGTGTTTACTAATTGGGATGTCATAGTATTTGGCTGCCGGGTTTCTTTTTTGTTTTGTTTTTTAACTTTTGGAGAAGTTTTGAAAAGGGGAATCGATATGTATGTGTGTGCTCATGTGTGTTCGTACACACATCATGCGTGTGGTAAAAAGAAATTGGCTAGATAGGGGGTATTTTCTGAACACTGCAAAAATAAAATACAGCCAAATGGCTTGAGTCATCACTTTTGGGCAACAATATCCTAAGAAGTTTGTGAAAAGATCTAAAGCCTTTCTCCATACCCCAAATTCTTATGAGCCACTCACAGCAGGCAGCATATGCTAAAACAAGTTATTATGGAAACACACTTGTATCCCCTTACCAGTGTATTTTCTTTATTAAATTGGTCTGACTTCTCAGCCTCATTTGTAGTAAAAAAAGTGGAAAGCCGTGAACACTGAAGGGTTGCATTGACCTTTTTGGAGAGTAGAAAACAACAGTTCTTTTTCTGAATGCTGCATAGGCTTGTCAGTGATTTTGTTTTTCCTCCCATTCAATTGTGCCTTCTTTGTGGCACTGCGAGATGGAGGTGCTTAAGGAGATCACAAGGTATGCAGGAATTGCATCAACAAACCTGTGAGCCTTCAAAGGGGAAGACCAGAAGGGTGAGAGAGGTCCCTGAAAGTTCATATGGTAGATGTATTCAGCAGCAGAGTGAGGAGATGAAGCCTATATATCCTGATGTTTTGTTGCTTATACTGTGATAATTCGTCCTAGCTAAGCTCTATAACTCCCAAAATCCCAAACAGTACTTTCACTTTGTACAAAAACAAAGACGTATAGCCAATGCACATCAAATGCCTGAGGTATTTGAATAATGCCATATTTGCAAACTGCCATCTTTTGGAATTCTCATCACACTACGTAGACATTAATTTGATTACCCCCCTTTGGCTTATGGGATTTCCTGTTTACAAGTAGAATAGCCAATTATTTAAAGTTTAGTTGCCATAGTGAACTAGGAGTCACTGAGCCAATGACTTTATCAGCTGCTGACTAATCCTCACTACCACTGTAGATTTTGCTGTGTGTGCAGGTCCTCTTTTTTTTTTTTTTTAATTACTGTTTTTGTTGCTGCAATACTTTACAAACTTCTAGTTCCTTGAGACTTAGTGACCATTTGGCATCATGTTAACATCATGCAATAGGAAACACCACTTCCTGAAGTCTCTAGCCTCAGTGCTAAATTACTACTGAAAAGGAACTAGCAAGTTTGGCAAATTAAAAAAATTAAGTTATAGTGGTCAGGGAATCTCTTGACAAAAGCTAACCTTTTTTTCCAGAGAGGGGTGTGTTTTGTATTGTTTTTTGTTTTGTTTTGTTTTGCAATGAAGGATCAACCCAGTGCTGAAAGTCAGATGTTACTTAGTATTCCTTTGCCAGTGTGGAAATTTAGTTGAAGGTAGGTAGGGAGCTGTGAGTATTACTTGAAGAAGAAGAAAAAGTTCTTTCCAGTGACATATCAGAATTTCTACAAGTTACTGTCCTTGCCCCCTCCCCAGTTGTCTTGAAGAACCCTTGCTGCTAACTCTGGATTCTGCTTTTCATATAGTCAAAGTCTTCAAGTTAGAATTCTCCAAGTCCCTCTTGGTCATACTTTCCACCTAGACCAGACTGATGGTCAAATGTAATCTATCACTGTTTGAGTCTTGGTTTTCTCAATTAAATTTAAGTCTTCCCCAAGTGTGAGTGTCCAATCTCCACGAATCATCCCCGTTAGGAGTTTCTGGCATTCATTTAAAGGTAACTGGAAGAAAAATTAATATTTTAATGTGAATATTTTAAAAACCAATATCACAATAGAATCCAATCACAATTTTAGGCAGAGTTTCAAGTAGCACTCTGACACATTGTCCTCTTGGCCGTGCTCAAGATCACCAGTTTTTAGGTGAACGTGACTTGTACTTGTCATATCTAATTAAAGGGGCTTTTAATTTTCTCAGTATCTTTTTTGCATTTAAATATTACATAATAGTTCAAACAAATTGAAATATCTACCTATTTGGGGGGAAATGATAGGAGAGAGCTTTAGAATTAATAAAACATCCAAAAATATAATGGAATTTGATACCTTTAAAAATTTATTATTAGCCCCTTGGTATTACTAGAGAGGTGGAATAGGGAAGCAGATCAGTTTTGCCCACAAACTCTTTAAAACCTAAATACTGCCAGTGATACATGTTAAAGTCCACTTGTGGACTTTAAATTGACTTAACATTAGTCAACTTGAGTTACTGAGTTTGTGCAGAGCATATGTACTTGTAAAATCGTGATTGAATGCCAACTCCAGATGTCTACCCAGTAGGGCTTTATATCTGATTCACCTGTGTGGCATCCACTTTTAACATGTAGGTCATGAGTATACCTGGATTATTCCATTAAGTTAACTTTCTTTGCAAAAATGGTTCAAATTATTTGGTTAGTGTATGTTTGTAAGATCTAACTTCTGAAGAATCTCATACATGGTAGGAATCAGTAAAAAGTAAAGCTTGTAGCAGGAAATTTTGAAAAGTTTAAGAGATTCTGAAGAAAGAAGCAGGCACTTTCTCAATCAGTGTGCAAATGTCAATATTTGATCAAATTACTACCTCCTCCCAGTGTTGGTGTTCACTCAATACATATGTGTTTAAGAAATAAAAAGTATGAGAAATTTGTCCAGCATATCAGAAAGTTATAAATGCTATATCTGGTATCCAGAGCTTGGCAGTAAAAATTTTCTTGTGTTCACTGTCTCTCTCTCTCTCTAGTTAGCATTTAAAAAATGCAAAACCTCATACCTTGAAATATATTATTTCTAATTGGGTTCTCTTCCTTTTACACATACCTTTTTTCTCCCCTTATTAAAGTCAGCTCTAACCCCAAATTATAGGTTCTTCATTATATAGTAATGTTAGCTGGAAAATGTTTATATGATTTTTATTCAGAGCTGCCCTTCTTTTTAGTCATTTTTATGCCTAGAGATGAATAGTCCTGCATTTGATGCCACGCCCACAGGTATAATATGCTTGGTACTCTAGGCCAAGGATTTCTTGGTAAATTAAACTTTTTAGTTTAGTCATGATTTTCAGCTGCCCAGACATCAGGTAAACACTATTCAGTACACTAAAGAAACTGTCCTTGACACTCCCTCACACTCCCACCTAATTTCCCTCATCCTCTTTTCAAAAATCAAAAACTCTATGAGTGTCTTTTTCAGACCATAAGGCAGACTTTAGTAACTTTCTACTTCATTAAGTACTAAATGTCTGGCATTTTAGACTTTTATAAAATACATTGTGTTGGACACTGGAATAATACTATTTATTTTCACCTGTGAAAAATGACTTCATTGTACTTGAAACACCTCCTTTGCATTTCTCCATTTGTGCCATTCACTAGTGGAAATAAATTGTATTATACCATGATCTACTGGCTTTTTAAAACTGTGTTAAATATGCACATTTTTGGTATAGCTGTTATCATTTGTATGTATATATTGTATATACATATGAGTGTCTGTGTGTATAGATAGATGGATGTAACTCATACTGTACATTTCCATCAGGGCACTTAAGGTTCTGTCATTTTGTTTTGTTATTTCAAATCCTCAGTTAAGGCAAGAATGCATGTGTTTAAGAATGAGTACTCTGGGGTGATATTTATGAGAAGGTGGTCATTAGATGCAGTCTTTTCTTCTTTAATCCCCTCTTAGCACTTGTGTAGGTGGAAAGAAAGTTAAGTAAAATGTGGAACCATAAGTTGCAGATACAGTAGAATAGTGCTGGGGAAGGAGCCAATTAGTGTTTCTATGAGTTTGTGTTGTGATGCAATAAAGATAAGTGATGCAGAGAGAAGTGAACCATGGAAATTAAAAACACTGGTGATGATTCCTCTGCAAAGATGATGAACCAATAAATCACACAATCTTTATGTGCACTCTATGTATTTCTTAGTACTGATGTCATTGATCCTCTTACTGTTTTTCTCCATTAATACCAATAATTATAAATTTTGCTAAGGACCAAAACAGCCAAGAAAAGAATTACTGCTAAAGCATCTAAGGTTCTCCTAAACTATAAAATCAACAGGAACTGGCCACTGGGAGAGAAGGATATGGTATTGGCATGGGGCTTTCTCCCTTTAGCTGCTGCTTCTAGCTTGCTTATAGTAAGTTCTTTGTGCGCCTTCCACCCCTTCTGAGCCACTACTATTCACGCAGAGATTTGGCTCAGCACAGCAACCCTTTCCTAGGAGGCTTGTGGTCTTTTGTCCCATGCTCACAATGTGAAGTGTCTAGTGTATATTCAAGTCAGAAAATAATATATTTAAGGTGTTTAAGTATGAATCTCCTATAATGATGAAAGAAGAGGTTTTTGTTTCTTAGAAAACTGCCTTCTCTAAGGAACAAAGCCAAAACTTGGGCTGTCATCTTTGAGCTGCTTATCAAAATACAGACCATTATTAAAGAGAAACAGGTCTATTTTGTTTTCCCTCATCTAACATAATAGGTAGTGCCCCGACCAGGTTGTAGCATTGCCTTTGAAAAGGCACTCACTCTTAGTTGTTAAAAACTGGAAAATTCCCATTCTCAGATTCTAAAAGAATGAAAAGTATGCTGTACACTTAGCAGACTTGCCTCTTGTATGCAAGGACTACTGATTGAAGTCTACTTTGCTGTGTGTCTGGTTATGTTGTCTGCACTTTTATGAAATCACTACAGTAGACTACATTGGAAATGACTATTAATTTGTAAAGAAGTGAGTTTTATTAAACACTGTCTAGGAAAAAAAGTGAAGCTGAGAACTCTTCCTTTATTGTATATTTATATTTTCTACTGAATTCTGGAAACCCCCCTTTGAAAGTCACATTGACTAATTTTCCCCTCGTTTATATTCAGACTTCCAAAATTTCACTCAAACAAGGGAAGAGAACCCACTTGGCCTGATGGCAGCCTTCAGATCATAAATATATAAATTAGTATGCACCTTATCTGCCTGTTGTGGGTTTTTTAAACTTGCACTTCCCACCTACCCAAAAATAGATATCCTTTAAAGAAAATAAATGCAGAGAATTAAAATTGGGGAGCCATTTACTATGTCACCATCACTGTTAACTGTTTCCCAGCAATCCTAACTTTGAAGTTTCAGAAATTTTGTGTGTACGTGTGAATGTGTCTGTGTTGGGTTTGTTTTTTTAAATATACAAGAGATTCTCCTTTAAAGAGAGAGAAAGGTTAATCCTCTCTGAAACAAGATACCCACTGGATATACTAATCTGGACATCTGTAGGTAGTTTGCAATGAAAAGGTGGAGAGAAGACAAGACTTCTGAATGAATGAAAAGGGTATCTTGATGCCCAAGAACTCCCCCCCCAAAGTACGGGTAATTCAACCTGCACAGTTTCCTTTTCACTCATAGTTTTTAGCAATTGTGAGTGGAAAATCATGTAATTATCTGTAAATATGTAGCTAACAGATTGACCTAGTTTCTGTATTTTTTTGTTTTTGTACTAAAGTTTATAAGTGTGCCAGCTAGAGAGGAGTTGCTGTCATTGCCGATTGTGGTCCTAGCATCTAACCCTGAAACCATCCTAGGTGACATTTTTATAATTAATGCTTAAATGTTGTTAAACAGGGGGAAATGAAGCTTAATCATTGGTCAGGTCTAAAATCTTTTGAAGTGAAGTCATTTTATTTAATATAATGATTACATGTCCTCAATCATGTATGAGGTAGGGAACCTCCCTCCCCCAGTGGCCATGTTTACAGAAGTGTGTTTTTGTCTATAAAGTGCAAGAATTTTAATGTTTATGTAAATTATGCAGGTAACATTATGGCTTGGAACTGTTTATTGGGCTCTTTAGCTGAATTTTCAAATGAAATGAACTATTCTTATTGGCACATTGATCCCATTTCTGGAGCATTTTCCTATTTCCAGAATTACGTAAGTTCCTTTGTCATTATCCCCACTTAACCTTTCTCTGATACGCCTTATAGCCCTAGCCCTAAGGTGTTTAAATCTGGAGAACATAGACAAGGGAAAAGCATTTTTTAAAATTCATGAATCCTCATTTGTATGCTTTCAGTACTCATATGTTTCTATGACAACTCCGAGGTCAGTGGAGTTTAGAAATGAGATACGAATGTTAATGAAAAGTGTGTACTATTTGCTTTTGCATGGCTTGGCTTAGCATCAGAGGTATATTAGGGCCACTTGAAAGCATGAAGACCAGTTGTATGGGAACAGGTTTCTCTTAGTGGCACATTTTGCTTTTTTCTGAGCCCTCAAATACATTGCCTCAGCATGAACATTATTGTTACTATAAACTGCACATGGTCATGGAGTGAATTGTGTGATTAAAAAAGATCTAACTGCGTAATGTTTGCAGATTCTGGCTGATTCATGTGACTATTTGGCACATATCAAACAAATGAAGGGGGGAGAGATATTGGAACCCTTCTAAACCCCTTTTTTGTCGTAGACAAGTACATTTAATTTAAGATGTTGGCTGCCCTGGTGTGTTGCCAGACAGCTCTTTTTTTTGGTGCCCCATTCCACATGTGCTTCCTTGCATTTCATAATATCACAGAAACTACCACCCCTCCTCCCCAGTAGCATTTTATGTGTTATACCTTTTATTCCACATTAAATGGGAATTGTGCCTACTTAGAGTGCTCCTCCAATTAATTATATACATATGTCCTAAAATAATCCAAGCCAGTCACAAGGTGGGAAATTAAAAAAAAAAAAAAAAAAGTCCACTTGAGGCCAGTAATTTATCTGACAAAGTATTTTACCACATGATCTTGACACTTGATATATGAGCCTATTAGGAGTTGCAGGTGGTTTCATAGAGCAAAATCCAAGTGGAGAGGGATATGTGGGGTTTCTATTAAAGAGATAATTTTGTTCTTATTTTACCTTTCCTTTTATGATCCTTCTCTACGAGGTTAGAATAGGTTAATTCTCCAAATGTATTTTATTTTGTTTTTTATCTTTTAGGGAAATTTTTACAAAAGCGATGGTCTGATGTAAATAACATTTTAAAGTATAGTGCACATAACTTCCCCAGATTATTCCAACATGATAATTTGTAAATGCTTTAGAGTTTTTTAAATTAACACTTGTGTTGCTAAATCCTATTTATGTAAGTCTGCTAAAATTTTTAACCCATTTAAAACTTAAGACATTTAAATAATGGATGGGTTACTTTGAGCAATTTAGCTTTCAGAACCCCCTTGTTTTAGTATATGAAAAAGATAGCTTAATGCGCATTAATGAGGTTGGAGAGACTATGAGAAATATGTATAGTGTATATTTTAAAACAGCTTTGCTTGTATTGTGAAGATTTAAAAACAAACGAGATTTTTAACGTAACTATTAACACAGTTTTAACATAAGTTATCCCACTGGGTTTAAGAGCATCTTGAATGTATAATCCTTTTTGTAACCCAGGTTGGTTTCTGCTTTTACCAGTCATCCAAACATTATTTATGTTTTTAATTTTATATACTCATTTCCCTTTTTTTTCCTCAACCAGCATGATTTTTTTGCACATGTATTGTAGAAATTTTTAAGAAAAATATTAATACATCATTTTCTCTGGGTTTTCTTCACTCCTCTCTTCCTTTCTACTAACCCCTTACCTTAAAGGCCATATCGCTCCATTTGCATTATTTGTGCAAATGCCAGGGTTGGTTTTTATTTTTATTTTTGCTATTTACCTAAAAAAAAGAAAAATGCTTCAGTCAATTGCTTTTTTATTTAAAAAAGAAAAAAGAAAAGAAAAAAAGCTGTAACCTTATCATTTCTGAGCAGACCATTGAGGGATGAATGCACACCTGTAATAGCCCAGGACCAGCTTTGGTGGCTAAAGGGAATATTTTAACCAAGCAAGAGGTTCTTTTCTAAAAGTGGTATATATTATTCACAATCTCTTTCAGTTATTCCCACAAGTCAGGGGTCCAGATAAAATGAGGGTTATCAGCAAACTGATATGTTATCATTGAGGTTCATCAATGAATTTGTACATTTCTAGTTCCCTTTGGTGAAGGGAAAAATGATGATTTTGCAAGACCTAGATTTTGGCTTGGTTTCTTGCCTCCTTTTTTGGCAGCCTACATCTTCTCATCTCCTAAAGCCCTTGAGCCTGTAGGGTTTTTGTAGTGGACAAAGGACTTGTGGCCTTTTAAAACTGGGACTGATTTAAAAAAAATTTTTTTTGGTGAGAGATTATCATCTTGAAAGTGATATTCTGCCACTTTACAGATGACTAATTTCAAATACACACAGTCCTCTCAATTTTCAAACTAAACAGATGCCCACAGTGGAGGCTTATCAAGGGTTGCGACGGGGAAGAAGCCTCTCCCTCACTGTCAGCACCAGCTGGTAAAGGTGACTGTACAGATGTGCATTTTCCTTTTGGTAGAAATGGTCCACAGCACTAACTGGTAAGGCTTATTGTACAGTATATTGTCAGTATTCTTCTGGTTCAACATACCTTATAGTTCATATATAACCTGTATTAATTGTATAGATTGTGCATTTAAAGCTGTTACCAAGTTGTCAGAACATAAGAGCGAAAACAAGGTGATATGTAATATTTTGTTTGTAAGTATCCTTTGTATCATAGCAAAGGAAATGTTTAAAAAAATCAACTGTAATAAAGTAATTTTAGTACACAGAGTGTCTGCTCCGTTTTTTTAAAAAGTAATTTTATTCCCCCTAAGAATACAGTATATATCAATTCAGTGACTATTGGATAAGTACTGGATCTCAGGCACTGTGCTGGATGTTGAGATTATAAAAATGAGTAAGACATGGCCCTGGCCAGTGTGGCCACATTGGGTGGGCAGCGTCCCATGCACTGAAGGGTTGCTGGTTCAATTCCCTGTCAGGGCATGTGCCCTGGTTGTGGGCTCCATCCCTGGAGGGGGGTGGATCAATGTTTCGCTCTCACATCGATGTTTCTCTCCCTCTCCTCCTCCTAAAAATCAATTTTAAAACCTTAAAAAAAACATACACACAAAAACCCTGTAAGATAAGGGTAAGGGTAAAACTCCTTGACATACACATGAACCCCCTGGTCTAATTGCCTGAAATTCTGTTTGCCCAGAGAGTGAAGTTGCCTATTGTGTTGTGGGTGTCAGGCGATTCTTTAGGTTCTTAACAGCTTGATGCAGGTCCTTCAGTTTTGTATAGACCTATTTGTGCTCTATATAACTACAGCTCTTTCCACACGTGGACACACAGATGTGTATGTAGTTCTTGGACCTTGTGCAAAGCTTCAAAAGGTGGCTTCATCTGGACTTATCTTCCTAGCTTTGAAAATCATCACATTTTAGCCCATATGGGGCAGAATATCTAGTCCAGTTCTGTTGTTTAAAACATTGTTAAAGTGACATTTTTGTCAGAAGGCTAATTTGGGTGGTTTTCATGGACTGTGGTTTAAATGTTTTTAAAAGTATAATTGAGATTACTGCTGTATTGAAAAGACTGTCAGAAAAACGGCACTTTAAACTTTTTAGTATAGCTTTTTAACTCCCAGAATGTCGATATTGAGCTATTTTGAGATTAACTAACATTTATTAGTGTTTCATTTGCCTGGGTCAAACAACTGTGGCAGAGCCAAGATTAGATCCCAGGTCTCCTACTCCATCATTTCCAACATCCCTGCTTGAATTTGGAGGAATTCCAAAAGGATTTACAAGCCCGGCCGGGTGTGGCTCAGCGGTTGAGCGTTGACCTGGGATCCTGGGGATCAGGGTTCGATTCCCAGTCAGGGCACATGCCCGGGTTGCGGGCTCCATCCCCAATCGGGGGCATGCGGGAGGCGACCGATTGGTGACTCCTTCATCGCTGATGTTTCTCTCCCTCTCCCTCTCCTTTCCTCTGTCTGAAATCAATAAAGATATATTTAAAAACAAACAAACAAAAAGGAATTACAAAACAAGATTTCTTTATGCTTTATCCCTCACAATTGGGCTCTTCAAACTACAGTGGAAGGAGAGTATTAGAAAACATGTGCTTCTAGCCTGTATCCTATGTCAACAACCCAAAACAAATGTCATTGGCTAAACATATCAAAGATGTTCTGAGTTATGCTTAGGATTTAAAGCCTATCCTTGACTATAAAAGAAATCTGAACATAAATAAAAAGTTACCACAGTGGTCAGCTTAGCTCCACAGCCCCAGTGGTTATGAGCCAGTGCTATCACCTACATCTCAGTGATGCCAGCTGCAAAACCAGGGTTCTCTGTGTGCATCGTGGGCAGTTAGTGACTAATTGCTACTCTATTTTCAGATACTTGTTCTTTTTAAAAATTTTTTTAAAAATATGTCTTTATTGATTTCAGAGAGAGGAAGGGAGAGAGAGAGAGAGAGAAACATCAATGATGAGAAAGTCATTGATCAGGTGCCTCCTGCATGCCCCCTGCTGGGGACTGAGCCCACAACCCAGGCATGTGCCCTGATTGGGAATCAAATTTCGATCTCTTGAATTCTAGGTCGAGGCTCAACCACTGAGCCACACCAGCCGGGCTCAGATACTTGTTCCTAATGGATAGAGGTAGACAGGGTTGCTGAGGATGCTAAGGCTATGCAGGCTATACAATAACCAAATTTCAGGGTGTTGTTTATAATGTGTATAGCTCTCACATGGAATTATACACTCCAGCAGCTCCAAAGACACATTTTCCCCCCTTCTGTTATCCTTTACATTATGAAGTATAAAATGAGCATTATTTACTGTCAGCCAGTGATTGACTAGGAAAAGGCAAATAAAACATGGCATAAAGAGCAGCGGCTTGGGTTCTGGTCTTTAGCCCCACCATCGTGAAATCTTGAAAGTAACTGCGTCTCTGAAACTTCACCTATGAGAAATAGGAAAACAGATGGTTCTTGGCCGGAACAAATGAACCAATGCAAAACCTATTAGCCATCATAACCTGGTTATCAGAGTGCATGTGGGTGTTTGGGTGAGGGGTGGGGAGACTTTGGCCTCAGTTGGGCAACCCAGGGCCTGGCCTGTGAGCCTCAAAAGGTGCTGCTCTTCCAGGCCCTCCCCATCTTTGCAGTGGAATTAATAACTGGAACTTCTTGGCCTTGTAAACGTTAGAGAATGGATTCTGATCTGAAAGCAAACGCCACCTCATCAGAGAGAACTCTGAGCTCCAGCTGAGGAATTAAGTAGACATGGAGAATGGGATCTACCTGCTTTTACTAGCTCACATCCTAACAGGCTTCCTGAATTAAGGCCTACTCACAGTCTCAGTCTTTTCATACGGAGCAACCCAAAATAACTTTTCCAAGGAGTCACCGATGAAGTACAAACTAGAACCCACATCTCCAAACTACTTCAGCATTCTCAACACATAGATGACTAATTGCCCACTGGAAAATATCCCTGTAGGTACCTTTGATGATCAGAGAATTTTGAGTCTGCTGGGAAATTATTAGCCCAGAGCAGGAGGCCTGGTTGTTGATTAAACAGAGCTGCCACTGGTTAGTGTTAGAGAACACGAGGCTAGATCTACAGAAGTAAAGCAACAACAAGCAAACAGAGAATGTGCATGGAGGCCCTGTCAACTCCACAGGTAGGTAAGCATGGCTCAGTACACAGAGGACTTCAGAGATAAACGGCATGTTTGTTTCTGGAGATTTAAAAAATAATGACATTCCATTGTTGCAGGGAGACTGCAATTTATTTACTATTCAGAGGCAAACAAGACGGAGAGATTTTTGTTCAACCCTACTGGTGATGAACACTACGGCAAGGTATGACCTTATCCCCAGGAGGGCTGGAGGGGCTAGAGACATTTATTTTTTGACGTATTAGTGTCTTTTATTGGTTTAATGAAATTCCACTTTTCCTTCAACTTATAGCTCTTCTTGGACACTTTAGAGCATAATTATTGGATATCTTTTAAAAAATCCTCTGGTCACTTTGGCAGAGTTATTTTCATTAAAATCTTCATGTCATCTCCAAACTCCTAGAATCCCCATCAGGTCTGTGATCTCCTGATTCTCAAGCCCTTAAATCAACCAGAAGTCTTTGCAACCCACTGAGCTCATTAGCATTATTTTAACTCACCAACTCTCAGATGAGAAAAGAGCTTATATGTAATCTAGGCCACCTTATTTCTTGGCACATGTCCCCTCCATAATGTGCGCCAAGTGACAGTCTAGCTTGCCTATCCCACATACGATGCGGAACTTCCTGCTTCCTGAGGCATTCATTCCATCTCCGGGCGCTCGGGTACTTCCTAGATACAACTTCTCAATCTCATCTCTGCCAATTGTGGTAACTAGTGTAAACAATCTCTGATGTCATCCTCGTGGCTTCGCTGTAGAATCACAAATACTACTATTGGCATTGTTACCAAGTTCTACCAAAGAGGTCAAGTGTGTCTGCTTGTTTAAGCAAGGAGGGGAATTCATGCTAAAGTTCATTTGTAAAGGAAGGGTGACTGACACAAAGGATCTTGTGGTCTGGGTGGTAGGTGAGTACAGAGGCGCTTCTGTCCCGGGGGTGGTTTTGAGGTTATATATAAAAGCAAGATAACACTTCCTCTGTCAAGACCTCTTTTCTAACAGTACTCCAGTCTTAAAAAGGATGTCTTCACTCGGAACAGAGAAGATGGCCTCTCAGAGTGAGGATTTGGTACTTTATTTTTTATACTGTTGACTCCAGCCAAGCCACCCGGAAGCCTACATATAAATACATAAAATACTAAGTCTTTAAGAGAATTAAGTTATAGGTTAGCATAGTCTTTGGTATCAGAGGTCAGAACTTAGTAGAACTCAAACCTTCAGAGGCAGGTGCCTGCTTCCTGCATTTTGATCCAACGAGTGCAGACGGAGGACTCAGTCTCTACTTCTGAGGTCACGCCTCCTTTAAATCATTGGGGGTTTTCCTTGCCATTTGAAGGTGTCCATAAAAAAGAGGCCAAAAGGGTGTCGAGTGAATGAGGCCTGAGAGGGTTGCTAAAGCCTTGCTACCTGGAAAACTCCAACTCAGAGGTACTTTTTTGGGTTGTGTTGTGTTGTGTTTGTTTCTCGCTTCCTCAAACTCATAACTTGTCGTTTTGTTCCAGGGCCACACATTCTCAGAATAGTGGGTCTGGGATTCCTCACGCCGATGTCATATAATTAGCTATTAACTAAAGCAGAGCCATTTGGGTGGTTCCTTCATGGTGAGACTGAAGGACAGGGTCGTCCAAACCTGTATGAACAGGAACTACACTTGCTTGGCAAAAAGGAGCTCAGAAGCCGTGATGTCGTCAAGTGGCGAGGGGAAGATAAGTAGCCTCCTGAGATGGGCTATGAGCACATCTGGCACAAGGGGCATGGAGGAGAAATACTTAAGGGTTTATTTAGGTCAGCGATTTTCAACTGGGGTGCCGCAAGAATTTCTAAAATGTGCAATTCTTGACTATTTAGTCAGGGGCACTTACCTCTTTCCCCTTAGATTGTTAAATTAAAAAATCACAACAGCCAACACAACAATAGCCGTCTGGTGTGAATGCCCTGTCTTGAACCTTAAATACATGGGTCGTATAACAGAGTTGCTACTTGTTGGTTATGTTGCATAATAAGGTTGCATCTGATTGTTTAATTCTTGGTTCAGAAGTTCTTATAGGCACTTGATTTATTTTTAAAGTCATGGAGCAAAAAGGGTAGGTAATTAGTATTATTATTTTTGTAAATCAAAATTATACCTATTTTTTGTCAGATTGGCAAAAAATATAGTTTTTGGTATGCCATATACTTTTAGTAATTAGTTTATGTGTGCCACGAGATGAAAAAGGTTGAGAATTGCTGATTTAGGTCATTAGGATTGTGAGTCCAGGGGAATTAACGGAGCCTGACTAGGGCTGTCCTGCCTATCTGAGGACTTGAAGACTGGAACCCTCTCTCTCTCTTGCTCTCTTTCCTATAAAAGGAAAGGGAAGCCAACCATGACTTCTCAAAAAGCTATTATCTTAACCAGAGTTCTGGGGTATCTGGCCTAGGGAAATGATACAGATTTAGCTCTCGGGGACCACTTACGGCAGAAACCGGGGTGTTTACAAACCAGTGGGCTGCTTCCCACTTTGCAGTCAGTTCTGAATGATCCAAGGGTCCTGCAGACGGGACTGCAAGACGCTAATTAACTGAAATTCCCACTGAACCTGATGCTGGGGGAGAGGGGTGGCCCGATATCAGCAATTCTCCCTCACCAAGCCTCACGTGGAGGTGGTTAACCAGCAGTAGAGCGGCTTCTTTAGATTTTAGTTGCTTGTTATGTCTCATACTCAGAAACGGTGAAAGACCTTTAGATGAGTGGGGGGGGGCAAGCGGTGGGAAAGGAGGGAGGTCATTTTTTTCGTGACAGGAGAATGTGCCTTAGACAATTGAGTGTTGCCTGTACTTCAGTTTAGATTCTTGGATAGTTCGGAGTTTCTTCTTATCTGATCTAGAAGAACAAGGCTTTAGATGATCCAAACCTGAAATCACCGCCCCAGGAAGTCTTCGTACCAAGCCTTAGGACAAGGCTTCAGTAAACACTTCTCCTCTTTAAAATTGCTTTGCTCTTTGTGAGGCTAGGATGGAGCTTCTCGTCAAAACAGGTGCCCTCTTTTCTCAATCACAAAATAAAACTTCAAGGCAAAGCTCTTAGCAGCACATGGAATCAGGTGTCCTATTGTACAGTTTAATGGTGTAATCCAAACTGAGACGTGTGGGTCAACGCGTACAATGCCTTATTTACGCTGGTCTGCAGCATCATTCCTCATAAAACCAAAAACCCACTCAGTCCCTGAGTGGCCAGAATCAGGAAGAAGCTTTTTTCTGCATCTACATGAATGGCCTTTGGAATAACTGAGCAGAAAAAGCATAGCGATGTGAAATATTCATAAATTACTGAGTCGGTTCTAGCCAACCTCTTGGAACTTCTTGATTTCCCTGGTCCAAGGTGTATCTCCGGGTTCTGGAGATGGACAGGCTAGTAGCAGTGTCAGAAAAGAGGGTCGCTAACTAGACAACACCTCAGATAGGAGATTTGCCTTTTTCACCACAGAGAAAGCCCACATCGCAGGAGAAACGCAGCTCTGGCCAGAAGTCTCTGGAGTAATAATCCTCAGAAATGGTACCAGAGGGAGCAGCTAGAGCGCCTCAGAGTCTGGCTCCTTGAGCCATGGTCCAGCAGACTGTGTCTGAGGACTTCCTGTTCCTAAAATCATCCTTGGGATCTATCCAGTGAGGCTTGAGGTCCTAGGCTGAAGCCGCAGACCGGCTCCATTCCCAACCGAGACTTGCAGAAGACGTCAGGAAGGCTGGGCCTTAGTATCCCAGACGGGCGTTCACAGCCCCGACCTCGCGGCTCTCCCGGGCTCCGGCCTCGGCGTCAGCACTGCACTTACTGCCTCTGCCGCCTTTCTCACACACGCAAGACAGACGCAGCCAAGCGGCTCTGCGAGCCCACTTCCACAACTGCTGGCCTGTGAAGTCAGCAGAGAGCCACAGCCGCAGAACGAAATGAGGGAAGTGGGACTGAGACACAGACATCCTGTCCTCACTACATCGAGTGGCTCCAGCCCGAGAGGGCAACAGAGCTGATTATTTATGTGGGACAGAGCCGCCCAATGACACAAGCTCATCTTCTCTGTAGCCGCCGCTAGGGAGAGAGCATTTTATCCTGAGTCTGTGGGTTTAAACGGTGCTGATCTTTGGCTTATGAGGTCGGCGACAGGAGGCAGTGGTCAGGAATGCCCAGCTGCTGACCAGGGTGAGCAGGAGCGTGCTGAGCAGAGCCTGGGCAGGCGTTCTGCTCAGGGTGAAGCAAGTGGCAGCGAGCTGGAAGTCCCAACTCTTTCCACAGGCCAGAAAAGAAGAAAGGGCTGAATCAGTGGCAAAGAGCTGGAGCTGCCCCACTCAGCCCTCACCGCCTTTTCAGGACTCTGCCACGCCCAGCTCTGTTCTTCCTTGCAGGACGGGCTGTTCTCCGGCCGGGTCTCACCTTGTATAGGATCGCTTCCAGCTAAAGATCTCATCCAGACTGGCAGAGGGCGAGACCTCCCGCTTCTGCAGGGCTCCCCAGCGACGCCGGCCCCCTAGGAATGAAGCTCGGTGCTTGCTCAGCCCCTTCATTCTCTCTTCTGTTCGGAAGAAGTCAGTCAAGGCCCGCAAGTACTCCAAGATGACCTCGTGGCTCCACGCTGGCAAAGGCTCCTGGCGCAGGAAGCCACAGTGGCCGCCACGGGAACTGAGCAGGAGGAAGAAGTACGGGTTGCTATGAAAGAGCTCAGTGGGCAGAAAGTGGTCTGGGGGCCCGCACACCGGGTCATCGGCACTACAGATACACAGCACGGGCACAGCTGCCTCGTCCACATCCCGGAGGGGGTCGTTGTGGTCCCAGTAGGTGTCCCAACTGATGGGGAAACTCTTGGTGTGGCAGAAGAGGGTCTCCTCAAACTCCCGCAGGGAGCGGCTCCTGAACAGTTTGCGGGTGTCCACGGTGTCCTCCAGGGCCGTGGCGTACCTGGCAGCAAGAAGGTAGGAAAGGGGGAAGAATTAGAAAACAAATCAACAAACTGGTGGCCCACAAGCCAGATTCTGGCCACAGCGGCTTTCTTTGGCCATATAATATTTTTTAGAAACTTCCATTTCATTGTCATTTAAAATCAGGAGTTTTCACATCAGTTGCAGCTATCAGGTTCCTCCAGGCAAACGAGAAGACCGGGCGACATGCGCTGGCGTTCCTGAGGACAACAATCAGGGTATTTCCTCCCTCCTTCCTGTGCCACAGTTCCTACCAGGTCTGTCATTCATGGCATTACCTGCCCAGCACAGGGCAGCATTTAACTTAGTCACATCTCACCTCCTGTCCTCAACTTCTGACTCTCTGTGGGGAACTTGCTATGAACTGTCACCTCCTGAACCCCTCCTAAAATAACTCCCTGGCTCAGACTATCCAAACCAGCAGGTGCCCCGTGCCCCCAAAACTGACATTTTACTTTTATTAAAAATGTATTAGTTAGTTAGTTTGTGTATTAAAAGCAAATATGCTATCCAGATAAAGACAAATGAGTGTATCAAGGTTTTCCTAGAGAGGGCTGGATGGCAGAGAAAATGAGTGTAACTAATTTACGGGGTGAGTTACCAAATGGGAGCCTAAGAGCAACTGTTCTGGGGAAGGGGGACACCTTTGCTATTGCCACCTCCCTGGAGAAGGCCTGGGGCCCTGATGAGGATGCCCGGATGGGCAGCTCAGACCTTCGGGTGGATCAGTCCAGCATTATTAGTCCACTGAATTTGAATGTGTGTCTCCTGAAAACACTCAAAGAGGCTTGCCCTGAGTTTTTAATCCCGAACTTCCAGGGCAGGGCAGTTACTAAAGACTCAGGTTTCCTCTACACTTTCCTCAGCCTCCAGCTGGTGCCCGGGGTCAGCCCTGGTGGTGGTTATTTAGGGATGGAAACTGGCAATTAAGCCATATGAGAGCACCTTGTCCCTGGCCTGCTCTGGCAGCTCTGGTTGCCATGGCAGAGTGCTGTTGTTGAGGCTCAGGGTTTAATCTCAGAAGGCAAAACGGGGCAAGAAAAGAAAGAAATCACAATTGCCACCATTTATTGAGCCCCTACCCAGTGCCGAGCCCTCATTTCCATTATCTCATTTCATGCTTATAAGTACCTTGGGAGGTAGTTATTATGAACCCCATTTAAGCGAAGAGAGAAGTGAGACTCCAAGGAGTTCACTACCTTGCTGGAAATTCAGGATTTGGGCCCAAGTGGCCTGACCCCACGTCCCAGGTCTTACAGCCACACCAGGCTGTTGCCATAATGTCTTTGACCTCATTTTGCCATCTCCTTGGCAGGCAACAGTGCAAGCTGAGGCCTGGTTGTGAGCCGTGCGAATGTCTCTCAGGTCTTCTCAGGGGAAAAGTCTCACCTGTCTCCCTGGTGCTGGGGTAGATGGTTCTCTTTATGGTGATTTAAATATATATATATATGTTTAAATATTCTTTAAATTTTTGCATTAAATATTGACTACATACCTAGGAATACGTGAAACACTTGTCGGGTCTAAAAAGTTTTAATACCACCAAAGTTTTTATTCCTGTCACCTCCAGGCTCAAAGACTGTAAGAGGAACATTCTGGACAGATAACCAGTGGCAAGTGCTTCCAGGGCGCTCTTTGCTGATTTGACAAGTTGCAGATTAAGTGGTAAATGTGGGGCACTGCCTCTGCTGGGGGGGGCAGGTGCTCAGGTTGCTAGGACACGGTGAGGCCGAGTGGGGGGGGCAGGGCAGGAGGCCCTGCTTAGCATAATGATGCCGACTGAGTCGTCTATGGATTTTACCCCGGCTTCCCTGGTTCTCTCTAGACTGGAGGGTTTGGGCAGCTTCCGAGAGTGTACGAGGAGAACTTCGCCCGAATTGCCCCAAACCTGTCTGAGTCAATACCAGGCAGAGCCGTGTCTCCGTCAGCCCA